AACAGTCGACAGCGGTAAGATCTCACGGTTATTTTAAACCGTTACCGACTAACTAACATTATGTGGGAGGTTATCTCAAAATGTAAACTGTTACACGGCTGCAGAGTGGGTTGCTCTGGTTTTGCTTGCCATTTCATATTTTAAACAAACAGACAGCAGATGGTAACTGGCCAATGTCGCTCATGAACTTTCGGAAGAGTTGCAAGTACTTTACCAGCTCTTAAAACAGTTTTTGCCTATGGGCCTAAAAGGTAGCTTTTTATTTTAGTATTTTTGGAAATCTTCTACTTCCAATTCTTAACTTTGAAGCCAGAGCCTACTATAATCAGTAAATTCGAATGTGTGCTATTTTTTTTATAAAAATCTCCTAATTGTCTGCCTCGTTGGCCAAGTGGTTGCAATTGTGACTGCCGGGCAAGGGGTCTCGGGTTCGATTCCCAGGTCGGGCAAAGTATTACTGGGTTTTTAAAAATCTCAGTAGTAGCACGGAGTCTGGAAATGTGCCCGGTATATGGCAATAGGCTCACCCCCTATTACATGGGACTCATAACATAAATAGTGAAAAGTGTGTGTTACATTGTACAGTGGCATTAAGTGCCATAAGGTGGACCTCTGCCTACCCCTTCAGAGATAAAAGGCGTGATGTTATGTTATGTTATGTAAAAATCTCCTAATACAGCTATAAACTTCATATTTCGTCGACTCACAAATAAAAAAAATATCAAAACACATGGACATTCTACTTTTAAAGAATAAAAAAAAACAAACGTCAAATATTTACGCGCCAAATTACGTATGACAGCTAGATAAAGGGAACGCTCCTTTTCACGGAACCACTAATTTGGGTTAATTAGCGATGACCGACTGACGTGTCCTATGGAGTTAACAAAACAATGAAATTGCTTGGTGACATATTTCTACAGGTTTGTATTCCATGGTGACAATTGAAAAGGGTTCGGTTATCCAATTAATAGGATCTATAAATAAAAATGGTTTCTTATTTTTCTTAGGTTCGGGAGCGGTTTGATCGTATTTTTTATTATTTTTATTTTCAGGACAAACGTGTCACAATAATTAAAAACGTTCGGAAATATGTTTTTGTGCATTGTATGTATTATTGGTGATTTGATGCGTATTTGGTTAATTATGCTGTTCATATAAGTATTTTTGTTTGCTAATTGACAATCGTTCAGTATTAATTTCTTATCGCTAAGTATTTTCATACTACAAGCTTTTTTTCCTAATTTATTCAATCTATGAGAACTCCAACACCAGGATACGATACAAAGACTAAAACAGAGTAACATTTTAGCGTCCTAAACAGGTTCAAAAGTAATGCAATTAATTGCCGGTCCATCGGACGATGGGACCGGTTTTACGCAACAATGTATCATCAACTCATCCAGCTAGTATATCCTTAAAAATCATAACTGGAAGGCTGGAAGTAGGTATCTACAATAGATATAAAAGGAAAGAATTACCTATGGTCAAAGAGGTTGACATAGATTTCTAAATGTGCGTACATATATTAAAAACAGTTTAGACCACATTCTGTTTTTTACGTTCATAGATAATAAGGTAAGTCTTTACGTTTTTATTTTTATGGGATTATGGGGGCAAAGGATCAGCCTGGTCGCCTGACGGCAAGCGATTTGCGCCATCCATTGCCATCCGCAATACCAAAATCGTGTACTTGCCAACTAGTCAAATTCAATACTTTTTTCGAATTGTCAAAAACGACAGTTTTCTATGATTTTTTTACGAAATTGTGTAAGTATTGTGACGTCACGTTTTTTTGAGCCAATCAGCGTACTTATTTCTTAAAAAAAATGCTGCAAAAATACTAAAATATCTGGTTAAATAATGAAGAACTTTTTATCAAAATAATAGAATACTTGGTGGTCTTCTACCCAATTTGGTTGCGAAGGCCACTTACTGCTGCACATCCATGGATTATCTGTAACGATCGTCTACCCAACAGATTAATGGACGACCTTCGTTTATTTCTCCAAAGTCTGCAGTACGCTGCTCATACGTATCATTACTTTTACTTAGGCTATCAAACATAACGTCCAGAGCCAGTAAGTAATAAAAAAAGTTGCAATAAACTTTGACATATGGTAAATTTATGACAAGTTATCCCATCTCCCTAAAATGCGTTTAAGTGTGGGAGAGCCATGCTTCGGCACGAATGTGCCGGCTCAACCGGAGTGATACCACGGCCTCACAGAAAACAGACGTGATACAACGCTTTCATTGTGTTTAATCGTGTGAGGTTACCGGAGGCCCAATTACCCCCTTCTCCAGTCTTCCCAATCCCCGAATCCCCCACAATCCTCAAATTCCTAATTCCCAAAAGGCCGGTAACGCACTTGTAACGCCTCTGTTGTTTCGGGTGTCCATGGGCGACGCTGATTGCTTACCATTAGGTGATCCGTCCGCCGGTTTAACGGATTATCTCATAAAAAAGGTTCTAATATGACAAACTACACACGTTCTGTAACTAGCGATACCTATGCAATTTCTTCTGTATTTCTTCAATTGTTCTGTGCAGACACCAAACCTCAAATCAGTAGAAATCGTATGTCTAGTTAGCGCAAACTATGTTAAACATCCTCCTTCAATTTTTACACGATCCTAGTCGAAAATTGAACACTCTGTTAATATTATTGTTTATGTCCTAGCTATGTTTAACTCAATGGTCTTAGCTCGCATTATGCAGGCTTTATTATCATTCCGATAGTTTATGCGTCTATTGTCTTGCCCCTGAAGTGGACAGAAACTATATAGAAACAGTATTTGGTGGTTCATTCGTTGTTAATGCAACCATTGATGATGTTTTGATGAGTAACTTTTTTATGGAATAGGAGGCAAATGAGCAGACGGATCACCTGATGGTAAGTGATCAGCGCCGCCCATGGACACCCACAACACCAGAGGAGTCACAGGTGCGTTGCCGGCCTTTTAAAAAGGAGTCCGCTCTTTTCTTGAGTAAAGTAAGTATTAGTTCGTTTGGGATTGAGACTTACAATCTTTGGATCCGAAAATGTCCTAATAGATAGTATTGCGATCAGCAGTTTTCTTTTTCAATTTCTGTTAACGATCCCAAGCCACTTAGCCTTGGCCTTTGCCAAGCTCCAACTCTCGTCAACGTAAAGAGGCTTTTGTTCAGCAATGGATAGCTTCTAGCTGATGATTATTGAAAGTGTTGACCTTTGCCACGTGTGTTTCAGTACCATTGCATAATTATTGTTTACAAAAACATCGGCGATATATTGAAGAAGGGCCAAATTAAAAGTACCCTTAACCGACGAGCATGCATGAAATGATTGATGACTGTTGAGGAAGCGAAAGAGGTATTTAAGAATCATAGCAATTGGCGTTCTATAGTCTCTGCCTACCCCTACGGGGGATAGGCATATGCAACTATGCATGTACAAAGACATAGCATTATTAAGATTGATAACTTCGGCACATGGCAACCTAGTCGATTTAATAAGTACCTAGGTACATACAAAGGATAACCATTGTCTTTAAACATTGGTGTACATAGTTATATTATAGTTACAATACATAAACAATAGGTCTCTGTTAATTTAATACTGGGTTTTTCAATATTTAAATTCATGGTAGAAGTCAAGGGGTAAGGCAACTATCCAATAATTTCAATTGTACCATTTACTATACAATTTAAGGAAATAAAATACGTTTCATTGTCTACCTTTATTTGGCCGGTACGTATGATACCAGTATAGGTATGGTAGGCAGCTTAATATTATTTATTTACTTTTTGTTAACTATACGTAATTAATAAAAGCTCGGAAAATGCGCGTTTTCGTTAAAACTTTGCTTATTCCTGAGTAAAAATAGGCGTGATGATACATTTCTTGGATCTAATGATCGTCATATCCTTAAACATGCTATGTGCCTGTACCCACGCAGTTATAACAATGCTTTTTACAGATTAATGACACTAGACGCACTGGATTATTAAACTGTCAAACACCAAGCGGTCACCGGTGACCGCGACCTATTGTTCTTTAATTGTGTCTATAAAACCGGTACTCGACGAGTTAATTGTAATTAATCTAGGTATTAAAATGTTAGTGACATGTTTATTAAAAGTACCTATCATTAGGCGTGCCATGGCTTCGTAAAATGACAAAGGCGTGTCACATTGCGACGCGGAAAACCGAAAATACAGCGCGCCTCACCCAACCCAAACATAAAAGCAGAAATTGAACATATTCAGCCATTTTATATAAATTTAAAAATGGAACATTTTGATTTTTTTTATACAAAATACTGCGTTCATCATTTCTTTTCTATTTGTGTTAAAAATACGCATTAAAACCTTCATGAAAGGTCTTTTTTCATCTCCGTTTTTTTCCCCTTGTTATAAAGAGGCGACAGACACAATAGCGAACGGGTAAGGGTTGCTTAATTAACGAAACCATTCATTTTGCTTTAATTAAAACGGTAAGTACTTTAGTACAATTTTTCTAATTCTATTTATTGCTTATTAAGTTAAATAAGACAGGTAATGATAACCGGGCTTTTAATAATGAAATTCGACTAGGATATAAAAATTATAAACCTGTGTTTATAAATAAGACAGAGTTTAAGATCCTAGATATCAACTAGGCATGTTAAAATAGTTTAATTTATAGCCGAAATAAATCATATTTATTAAGCAATAAAATGTTTTATTGTTGTATACGGTTCCTTAACGATTTATATCCGCCTATGAAATGTCCAGCCTACGTAATTTCCCGCCAACGTTTTACTTAAAACGGGAACGCAGGAAATCGCATCAGCCGGCATTTCGAGACGACTGCATCCTATAACTACGAAAATGCACCCAGACATTTGTATAGAACACTGCCTCCCCCCATACGAACCTAGCGATATATATAACTTAGGCACGCTTGCCATGACTAAGGGGCACAACATTGTTCGTTCATACATCGATGAAATAAAAAAAAATAAAAAGCACTTACTTTTCTTGGTCCATTCTGCACAATGGTTTCATATTCTAAGCCTTCCGACATCATTCTCACAATTTATTTAAATCACAATTGAACACTAAAATTATTTTTGGTATTTTTACCGGTTTTAATACACTAAGGCTGTATATTTTTACGTAAAGCCAGCGGAGCGTTCGAACGGCGTACCGGCACTAAATCTTACAGAGATAAATCACTGTTTCCATTAAGTATTTGATGGGAAATATTGTTCGAATGAAATTATAACGTGGTGCCGGCGGTCGGCCCGGGTGCTGCAACCAATATCACGCCCACAGCCTCCCTCGCTCTCCAGTGAGTGAATACATACAGATACATAGACATAGAAAGTAGATAAACATCCAATACCTACCTACGTGTTAAATGTTAGGTACGGCTTGTATGCGACGATTTTATCTGTCTTAAACGTTCCGTGTCCCCGTTTTTAAACTTCTGAAGTTAGGTCTTCTAATAAGATGCTTATAAAAAATAAGAAAGTGTAGTGTAAGCTTTTTCTAGATTTTAACGTAGGATATTATTATAGCTATCTCTGTGTATAATATATTTCTTAAAAAGAAACTAACTCTTCGTAAATGGAACGCAGCTATAAATTGATATCTGTCTACACACTGTCAAATTTGACAGATGAAACTATTTCAAAACAAAGCACGCCGATTTGTTAAAACATCGCGTAAAATTATCACTTTAAATAAATTGTTTTATTACAACTTTTAGAAAAAGTAAGTAGTGTATAAGTTATAATATCAAGTAAGTAAATCATCGACAGCAACGCCGCAAAACCGTTGAGTCAACATGGAAGAAGGGCTGAAAAATCTGAAAATACTAAAACAAGGAGCTGAAGCTAAGTTGTACATTTGTAACTATCTTGGAAAACCAACGCTAATCAAAGAGAGATTCAAGAAGAAGTATCGCCATCCAGATTTAGATGAGCACATAACCAAAGATCGGATTAAAAACGAGGCGCGTTCCATAGTCCGATGTAAAGCATTCGGTGTACGAACTCCAGCATTATACTTAGTAGACTTCCACAGATCACGAATTTACATGGAGCACTTAGAAAAAAGTATTACAGTAAAAGATTTTATCATAAAACATGTCACAGATGATACAAAACCAAGATTAAACATTGTAACAGAAATTATTGGACAAAATGTGAGAAAATTACACGAAAATAATATCATACATGGAGATTTGACGACCTCGAATATGTTGCTTATTCCTAAATCTGGAAATGAGGAGCAGGACTGGCTTAGTGGGGATTTAGACCTGGTGATGATTGACTTTGGACTGTCTTATATTGGTACTAGTGCTGAAGATAAAGGAGTAGACCTCTATGTCCTCGAGAGGGCAATAATAAGCACTCATAATGACCACCCAGACTTATTTAAAGCTATATTAGAAGCCTACAAAAAGCAATGTAAGAAGAAAATTGAAGAGACTATTAGCAAGTTTGAAGAGGTTAGGGCTAGAGGGAGGAAGAGAACTATGGTTGGATAGTTTTAAGCAATAAAGGTTTTGTTTTGTATGTTCTTGTTTTATTTTAGTGCCCTATTTACTCTATAAACAGATACTTTTTAAATAACAAAATATGTATGCAGTTGCGTTCTGAAACCTGTTCACCAATGTTAGTGATTCTAATAATATTGCTAAAGACTAGTAAATTACTGAAACAGTAGAATGGGATCTTGCAAGGATCTAATATGAATGAACAAGTTAGTTATATACCCATACTTACAAAATTGCAAAAATCTTGAGACTAAATACTAAGGGCCGATTTTTCAATCATCAGTTAATTCTAAACTGAGGAATAACTTTGAATATTCGACAATTTTTCCATACTAAAAACTGTCAATTGTCAATTTGATTCTACAGTTACGAATTAACCGATGATTGTTAAATCGACCCTAAGGTGATCAAATCGAATCATTTTTTTTAAAGTGGTGAATGCTCAATGATCAATATGTCAAAAATAATGATCTGGAACGTAACTGTCAATCTCATGTCATAATCACCTGTACATAACCTAAAAGTTCTTCTCGAATTTATTGTTAAAAATATTGCATTTATTTTCAAAATGAGGCGTCAAATTTTGTGTTTATCAACAAAAGTGACGCAAAACAGTTGCACAAAGGCATTGCCATTGACGAGTAAGTAATAATGAATGCAGTACTATTCATCATTTTATCTTTTTCGAATCGAATAAACATAACTTCTTTGGTGTATTTTTAGGATTCTTAAGTAGTCAAGAAGCTATAGATCGGCGTTACCACCTTTTTACATTAGAAAAGAAGCGTCAATTGGAAAATGTCGGCAGAATTGAGAAAATTGAGGTCCAATACAAAGGCGTACCTAAAAGTTGCACTTTAATAATGAATAAGGGAATCTCGACGCCTTACGATTGTGCCAAACGTAAGTTCTTATTGTTTGTATTCTATATGAGAATGCCTAATAGTGTTTAAAAACAGTTTATTTTAATTGAACTTTGATATTCTGAGAATACTTACATTTTTTTGAGAGCTTTGTTTATGTAATATTGTGTTTAACATGTAAAACGTATTTGCTATAATAAGAATTTTGTCTTTCTGGAATTGTGCCCGGTATATGGCAATAGACCCCCTATTACATGAGACTATATCATAAATAGTAAAAAGTGGGTGTTACGTTGTACTTACAGTGGTATAATGCGCACCTTTGCCTACCCCTTCAGGGATAAAACGCGTGATGTTATGTCATAATAAGTCCCAAATCTGTTTCTCCATAACTTAACAGGAGTCTAGCGATCTCAGCCTTAATACTGCCAAATACCTGACAAAGTTACAGGTTTCATAATTTATAACTGAACTGAATTTATAATTGTTTATAACTGAGAATTTTGAAAAATCAAATCAATGGTAAGCAGTAACTACAGAGCACCACAGACAGATGACTCTATTTTTATTGATTTTCAGATTTAAGTGAATGGCACGTAGAGTCCAGTGCTCTAGCACTGCTTGATGGCTCAGTTTACTGGGACATGCACAGACCACTCACAGAAAACTGCACTTTAGAGGTAAGCATTTAAATCTATTGTCATTAAATTCTGAGTGATATTTAAAATGACTGCCTCGTTGGCCGAGTGGTCGTAAGTGCGACTGCCGGACAAGGGGTCTCGGGTTCGATTCCCGGGTCGGGCAAAGTATTACTGGGTTTTTAAATATTCTCAGTAGTAGCACGGAGTCTGGAATTGTGCCCGGTATATGGCAATAGGCTCACCCCCTATTACATGGGACTCATAACATAAATAGTGAAAAGTGGTGAATAGTGAAAATTGTACAGTGGTATAATGTGCACCTCTGCCTACCTCTTCGGGGATAAAAAGGCGTGATTTTATGTGATATTTAAAATTATTTATTGTGGAATAACCAACTGTCTTTTTATTCTAATGGAAATAGAAATTTTCTGTTATGTGTACCAGAAGGTTCAGTACGAGTTCGTTTTCCTTTTAAAGTAATCAAAATGAGACCATGTTCGTCGCTCTGATTGGCCGGCTCTAATGAACCAACCAATTAGAGCGCCGAATATGGTCTTGTACAATTAATTTAAATGTAAAAAAACTCGTATTAAAGCCAGTAACTGAACAGGAACAGTACAATGTCATAGCTTTCATAATTTTCATTGACTGTCATCATCATGTATAGGGCTAAGAGTTTTCATTGCATAAAAAGAGTTTGCTATCTCCAAGCAAGCTCTAGTGCGGGTCATGATGCGGAGCGAGGGGGACTGGGGTGCCGTCTACTCCTTTTGCGAAGCAGTCATGCTAGCTAAGGAGAAGGCAGGACGCGTGAGGCAGCGTAGCGCTGCCTCCTCACAACCCAGCCATCGCGAAGGACACTCCGGGCGTCGGGGATCGCGGGCCACCGTAAGCCACCGGGCCACCACAAGGCCACAGGGCCTGCGGGCGGCGAGCATGTGTGGCTCGCCGCCCGACCAGAACCACACCCGAGCGTACGAAGCGTCGCGTTCCGCGCGCGCCTCAAAGAGCCATAAGACCGCCACGGATGGGGCCCAATAGGGCTGATGCAGATACGGAGCCGCAGAGAACCTAGCGGGTTTTTAGTCAGTAAGAGTCTGACACTCCCTCCCGCCTCTCCCAGGCAGGAGAAGCGATTCAATAATTATCCCCCTTTAAAAAAAATCCCCAAGCATAATCAATATAAGCATAACTAATCCATCTCTGTCTGCCCAGGGGGTTTATTTGGATTCATATGCATAGGCATTACTAGTCAATATTAGTAATTAATTACTAGGCAATAGTAGTCAACTAAATAATTATTCAGTACCATGTCATACAAACTACATAATACTCTTCTTTTCCCCACAGCTCCAAAACTTCTCAGTAGCAGAGCCGCAGCAGGTGAACAAGGCATTCTGGAGGACTTGCTCGTTCGTGCTTGGCGCGTGCGCCACCATCGCGTTCAAAGACACGGTGCCTGTCAAACTGCACAGTTTTCCTGGACCTGACAGTAAGTGAATGTTTGCTATTTCTTGGACTATCTTTTTGTACAATGTTTACTTACATTGACTTGACTTTGGTTGACAAAGCGAACCATTTTGTTCACTTGTCATCGCTAATATTTATTTTTACTCTGTGCAACTTACCAACACGCGAAACGGTCATACTTGTAGGAATCACCAACTTGTATTGGTTATGGTGTACTAAATTGTAATAAATAATACTTTGTAGATAGTAGATCGACTTTGCCTAATTTGGAAATCTAACCCAAGACTTCTTGCTCGGCATTCACTTGTCACCACTTATTCAAAGATGTAGGTAGATTTGAGTAGATGATTAGAAGTACCGATTAACTTATTAAAGTAACCATCCAACCGACTCATTCCAGTCCGCAGCGGCTCCTTCATATACGACGTGGACCTACCAACCCTGAGTGACTGGAAGCCGACACAGCAGGAGTTAACCACGTTGGCAGCCGAGTACATCAAGCTGACGAGGCTGAATGAACCGCTGGAGAGGCTCGAAGTGGGCGAGGAGTTGGCTCTGGAGATGTTTGTGGAGAATGAACATAAGACTAAGCAGATACCTAGCATTGCGCGGCATAATGGTAAGATTTAGACACGTTTGCTTGTTATGAAAACTCGCACATCCTACACATTCTACATAAAACAAATAATACAATAATGTCGATACATACCAACTTAAAACACCTCCACAATAAATACATAAATATTCTCTATTCCTTTGTCTGTATATGTTCCAACTATGACGCTCCTAAATTCTATAAATGTTGGATATTAATATTCTAAATGATCTTGACTCGTTTGGTGCAAACGAGTCATTTGTTTGCGAACCTGAAGCCTGCAGTAGTTTTATTAATAAAAATATTAGTTCACTAAATATAATGCACCTCAATATACGCAGTGTAAACCGCAACTTCGACAGCTTTCGAATGTTACTTGTTAAAATGAAATGTTCATGTGATGTCTTAATTTTATCAGAGTGCTGGTTAAGCTTATCAGCAGTACCACCCTTGGAGGGATATAATCAATATACTACTAGTAAAATAAAGAACCAAAATGACGGTATTATAATCTATGTTAGATCACAACTACCGCATGTTATTATGGAACCTCATATGACCGATGCAAGCTGTTTAACCTGTTCTATAACCTCCCATGATATCTTTATCATAGCATTCTATCGCTCACCATCAATACGTAATATTGAAAATTTTAATTTACAGTTAGATAAATTTCTTACACAGTCATCAATTCATAAAAACATAGTGGTTATGGGGGATATGAATATCGATATAAGGCCAGATGCTCTTACCACCCAAGCAAATCAGTATCTCGATTTAATTGCCTCACATGGCTTAATGCCCACACACCTGTTTCCTACACGCGCAAATACCTGCATTGACCACATAATGATAAAATCGACCAAAAAAACTACAACTCTGATTATTGACACATACATAACGGATCACAAGCCTACCTTTCTTACTATTCAATATAAAAATTCGATCAACACACCTAAATCTAACCGTATTGTTATTGACTACGCAGCTGTTACAGATGACATATTATCAATGGATTTTACCACAGTTATGAATATACAAGACGCCAATATTGCCGCGGAAACCCTGGTGTCCATGATCAGGTCAGTTATAACTAGGCATTCCAAATTAGTTCACATGTCCTCAAAATGCAGAATTTTAAAACCTTGGATTACAAAGGGGCTACTCCGATGCATTAGAAACAGAGGAGAAAAACAATATGGCGCGTAAACTAAACAATGACCCAGTAATTATATTCTTAAAATTACATACAAACGGTATCGTAATTTTTGTAATAAACTTCTTAAGAACCTTAAAATTAACTATGAAAGAGAGGAATTCCAAGAGGCGAAAAGTAATGCTAAAGCTACATGGAAGGTCATCAAGAATGTTACTGGAACTAATCACATGCCTACTGCTAGCAATGACCTATTAAGGATATCTTGTGATGAAAAGTCTTCGGTAAATGTAGTTAATGATTTTTTTGCCAATGTCGGCAAAAATTTGGCTGAAAAAATACCATTCAGCTCTTCCACTCAGGAATTCTCTATGAAATCGGTACCCTCAAATTCACTGGTATTGTTACCTACAGATGTGGAAGAGGTTTCTCAACTTATTATGAGATTAAGAACAGATGCTGCTGCAGGTTGGGACAGCATATCATCAGGACTCTTGAAAGCTTGCCTACCTGTGCTAGTACCAGTTATTACGCATATATGTAATCGCTCTATATCAACGGGGTGCTTTCCTAAGGTTTTCAAAAAAGCTATTGTAATTCCAATATTTAAGGGTGGTAACGGACACAGTGTCAATAACTATAGACCTATTTCAATACTGCCTGCCATTTCTAAGATATTAGAAAAGATCCTAAATACTCGCCTAGTAAGATATCTTGAGCCACACAATATATTAAGTGCCAATCAGTATGGTTTTAGAAGTGGTAGGTCGACAGAAGATGCGGTTGCAGCTCTGGTGGATGGTGTTGTGGACAAATTGGATTCTAAAATGAAATGTGTGGCTATTTTCTTAGATCTTTCAAAAGCATTTGACACTGTGTCCGTTTTTCATCTTTTACTTAAATTGGAAGCCATGGGTATACGTGGGCACACCCTCAAAATTTTCCAGGACTACCTATCTGACAGAACGCAGTGCGTCAAAATAAATGGAATAATGAGTGACGACTCCAAACCACTCTGCTACGGCGTTCCTCAAGGTTCAATTTTGGGTCCAACCTTATTCCTAGCCTATATTAATAACCTCTGCAAAATAACCCTGGAAAATTGTTCTGTTTTTACATACGCAGATGATACGGCATTACTTGTGCATGGCCGTGACTGGCACGAAACAACCAAATATGCGGAACATGCTCTTACTTCGGTGATGAAATGGCTGTCCGAAAATGTCTTAACTCTAAATCTCGACAAAACAGTCTACCTACCTTTCTCGCTGCGATCCACTGACATCCCTCCTACGAACACGATGGTACTTAAAGCTCACAAATGTCCTCTTGGCCGATCCTCGGCTCATTGTGACTGTCCTCAAATATCAAGATCCATGACTGTCAAATATCTCGGAGTCCACATAGATAGTTCTTTAAGCTGGAAGCCTCATATCAGTAATATTATGAATAGAGTTCGAAAGTGTATATTTATTTTCAAAAAGCTGAGGGCTTCTGCTAACCAATGTACCCTCAAAACCGTTTATTACGCCTTGTGCCAGTCTATCCTAGGTTACTGCATTACTGTATGGGGCGGTGCAACTAAAACATCCTTACTGCCTTTAGAGAGAGCACAGAGAGCAGTTCTCAAAGTTATGAATGCCAAACCCTTTAAATATCCCACGACAACACTCTACACTGAATGTGGTGTTCTTACAGTTAGACAGCTCTTTGTTCTATCCACTGTTTTACGCAAACATCCGACGGTAATACTGGAAAAGAATGACACAAGAAAACGCAGACGTAACAAAATATGCCCAACCCACGTATGTCGTACGACCGTTGCCCAGCGACATTATAATGTCCTCTCTAGTCATATTTACAACAAGGTCCATAATGTTTGTGACATTGTTTCATTGTGCCGGAGGGGGTGTAAGGCAAGGGTTCATGAATGGCTTTTAACGTTAAATTACGACCAGACGGAAGAGCTTATTAAGATTTCTACTCTTTGACACACGTTTATACACACACCTAAACACTACACATACATTCACACTACACATACATTCACACTACACCAACATTTTCATACACAAAATAATAATTAAGTATGCACTCGCAAATCAAAAGAGGCTGCATTAGTACCTACTTAGAAAATAATATATAGTACAGTATATTAGAATAATGTTTATTCCAGTCTAAACCTGTTTGAAGTGTTCGTCCAACAACTTAAGTTTGTGCAAATGAAGAAGGACAATGGTGGTACCCATAACACAAGTTTGATCTTACCTTGGGTACCATAGTTTCATCTTAAGTACTCACTTTTTATATGATGTTGTAACGATTAATTTTATATATAAGAGTTACTGTAAAAATTATGGTTAATAAACATTATTATTATTATGTATGTCTTTACCATTCACGGGACCACAGGGTCCCGGTCATTTGGAAGGCGTACGAGGGGCCGAAGCCAACTGCGCAGAGGCCCTTTAGACAACTTTAATATAAATGTAATGGACACACAAACCGGCGACTATCCCTGTATGCACTATGGAAATGCACCCAAGGACAGTCCCCGGTTAGTGTAGGACTATTGTGAATAATGGGAAAAAAAAAAGGTAGGGCTATGGATGGGTTGCTGTGGACTGGTAAATTGGGAACTATGGATGACTATGGCACCTGCCGAAACAATGTAATTTTTACACGTAAAAATGGCAGGCGGAGACTCGCCAACTCACTGACCGGGCCCCGGAAATGGTTGCTAGATATAGCAACAGAGGGGCAACGAGAATGTGAGTGGCTGAAGGGTTAAGAAACTACCACCGCTTTCTACTCAGATCATCTGCTCCAGCCGAAGCCTCCTGCATCCCTGGCCCACTCGCGACTTACGAATAGTTTCTTACCCTCCGAGCAGGATCACTGCTCTCGCGACTCCACTCTGGCCGGCCAGTGAAGGCAAGCCAGAGGTGGGAGACCTGTTCCTTGTCATCTTTCACTCCAGCCAGCCAATTAAGGCAAGCCGGAGAAGAAGGAACGGTGACTTCTCCCTGGAGCACTCGGGATGATGGTAGCCCGCGGGATCGCTAATGCCCGTCACCTCGCCTCAAGGTGCCCTGCGGGCTCTCAAGGTGCCCTGCGGGCTTATTATTATTATTATTATGTATGTCTTTACCATTCACGGGACCACAGGGTCCCGGTCATTTGGGAGGCGTACGAGGGGCCGAAGCCAACTGCGCAGAGGCCCTTTAGACAACTTTAATATAAATGTAATGGACACACAAACCGGCGACTATCCCTGTATGCACTATGGAAATGCACCCAAGGACAGTCCCCGGTTAGTGTAGAACTATTGTGGATAATGGAAAAAAAAAAAAGAAGGTAGGGCTATGGATGGGTTGCTGTGGACTGGTAAATTGGGAACTATGGATGACTATGGCACCTGCCGAAACAATGTAATTATTACACGTAAAAATGGCAGGCGGAGACTCGCCAACTCACCGACCGGGCCCCGGGAATGGTTGCTAGATATAGCAACAGAGGGGCAACGAGAATGTGAGTGGCTGAAGGGTTAAGAAACTACCACCGCTTTCTACTCAGATCATCTGCTCCAGCCGAAGCCTCCTGCATCCCTGGCCCACTCGCGACTTACGAATAGTTTCTTACCCTCCGAGCAGGATCACTGCTCTCGCGACTCCACTCTGGACGGCCAATGAAGGCAAGCCAGAGGTGGGAGACCTGTTCCTTGTCATCGTTCACTCCAGCCAGCCAATTAAGGCAAGCCGGAGAAGAAGGAACGGTGACCTCTCCCTGGAGCACTCGGGATGATGGTAGCCCGCGGGATCGCTAATGCCCGTCACCTCGCCTCAAGGTGCCCTGCGGGCTTATTATTATTATTATTAACCTTTTTTGTTTTTATGAGACAAAATAAGTTAACTGAAAATAATGGTTATCGCGAAAATATTCTGAGAGAAGCTCTACTAGTTTCGAGTCACAGAGGGACTCTTCCTTATGAGCAGCGTGCGTAAACCGTTATTTTTATTTAATTGAGTATTTTGTCCAATTTTTTATGTTGTAATATAGTTCCGAAAAGGGTAGGGTATTTTTTACACCGTCATGCTTTTTATCTCCAGAGGTTTAGGCACATAATAGGGGGTTAGCCAACAGGCTAACCAATATGGCAACCAATAATCAATATGGCAACAGCCATATACCGGGCACAATTCTATGTGCAATAATATGCTTTGCCAGACCCGGAATTGAAACCGAGACTTCTTGGACTGCTTCATTGGCCGAGTGGTCGCAAGTGCGACTGCCGGGCAATGGGTCTTGGGTTCGATTCTCGGGTCGGGAAAAGTATTACTGGGTTTTTAAAAATACTCAGTAGTAGCACGGAGTCTGGAATTGTGCCCGGAATATGACAATAGGCTCACCCCCTATTACATGGGACCCATAACATAAATAGTGAAAAGTGGGTATTACATTGTCTAGTGGCATTTAGTGCCGTAATGTGCACCTATACCTTTGGGGATAAAAAGGCGTGATGCTATGTATGTATGAGTACCTCTTGGTCAAAAGCCAGATTAAGAGATTGTACCTTTGTTTGCAGGTAAAGTAACACTATACAAAGTGGGTAAACACGTAGATATATCCAAGGGCCCCATGATCAGCACCACTGGACAAATTGGACGACTCAGCATACCATCTGTACACAAAATAAACGGTAAGTTGTCATTATGCCTGTATTTCAGGGCCTCACAGAAAACCGACGTGAAACAACGCTTGCGTTGTGTTTGCTCGTGTTAGTGATGATAACAGAGGCCCTATCACCCCTCCCCGACACCCATCATCATCATCATCATCAACAGCCTATAAATGCCCACTGCTGAGCAAAGCCTCTTCTCACACGGAGAAGGTTTGAGCATTAATCACCACGCTTGCTCAATGCGGGTTGGCGATTTCAAACTTATAATTAGAAATTATAAGTCCAGGTTTCCTCACGATGTTTTTCCTTCACCGTTTGTCAGTGGTGTCTAAATAATCTTAGAAAGTACATATAACTCGAAAAAGTCACATTGGTACTTGTCATTGGTCGGTTTCGAACCCGTACCCTCATGCATGAGAAGTGGGCGTCTTAAACCTCCGGGCCACCACGACACCCACCTTGCTTAATCTCTGAATCCCCAACATTCCTCAATTTCCTTATCCCAAAAGGCCGGTAACGCATTTGTAACACGTGGTGTTCCGGGTGTCCATGGACGGCGCCGATTGCTTACCATCAGGTGATCCGACTGCTCGTTTACCGACTTATCCCATTAAATTGCAATCTAGTGCAAAAGAGAGTTTTAAACATGATAATGAGCATAGTGCCAGACATTCACCCATAAGGTGGACAGACTAACTGAAAGAAAGAATGAAAAAGTATTTATTTGACAGTAGGCACGCACACAGATACAAAATTAAAAAAAGTTAAAAAAAATAAAAGAAAAATACAGGTTGCTTCAACCGGACCATCTGGAAGTCATTGAGTAAGGCCTGCGTGAGGCAGTAGATGTATTCTGTTCCTACTATCATAAGTACCGTAAAAAGGGGTGAATAGATACAGGAATGGGGTTGAATAAATATTATAACATTTTCTCAATATTTATTCACCCCCTTCTCAATCTATTCACCCCGTTTTACCGTTATTTGGATTTTACAGATTAAGGGACTCAATTATACAACATTTGGTTGTATATTATAATGCTATACATGTTCCAGGGTCAGCAGAGGGCGACGTGAAGCAGTTGTACAGGTTCCAGGGCGTGGCTCTCCCTACCGGAGTCATGATGAACCACTTCACCTTCTCAATACTCGCACAGAGAGCTAAGAAATTGGTGAGTTATATTTTTTCAAGCTAGTAACGCCTTTGGAGTTGTCTCTGTGTGGCTATTCAAATTCATTTTGTACACAAAAGGTGACAAAAAAGGTGAGGTCTTAAACTGTCAAACACCGCGAGGACACCGGTGACCGCAACCTATTGTTCTTTAATTGTGTCTATAAATACGGTACTTAAAGGGTTAAATAGCATTTTTAAATGCTATGTTAGCTTTGGCCAGCGTACAAAATTATAATGTTGACTGTGTGACATGTTACATGGGACTCATAAAATAAATAGTGAAGTGGGTGTTACATTGTACTGTGGCATCATATGTGCACCTCTGCCTACCCCTTCGGGGATAAAAGGCGTGAAGTTATGTTGTGTAATTATTATATTTTCGGTTTACTCACGTAATTATTTGGCGAGAAACTCGACTAGTTTCAAGCCTTGCTAGAGGCTCATATTCATAAGCAGCATTAGTCGAGTTCCTCCGCAAACAGTTACGTGAGCAACCTGAAAACATAATAATTAATTTAGTATTGAAAGTTTTAATATAAAATATAATATAGTTGGAACAAATAAATGGGATCATTTGGATTGATTATTTTTAATTAATATCAATAGAATTATTAATTACTATAGCTTGTATAGGCCGCGTTGATAGCTTACCATCAAGTGATCTGTCGCGTCGTCCGCCGTTGCCCCCCTTTTCCCTAGACTAATCGAGTAACAAACATAAAAAAAAGAAAAAATACAGTCGAATTGAGAAACTCCTCCTTTTTTTTGAAGTCGATTGATAAAAAGTGTAAGCTCACAATATTACATTTAGGATTTAACATTTTATGTTATTTTCAGAATCCCGTAAAGTCCCCGATCCCGAAGCCCGTGGAGTCTGAAGAAAAAGAAGAAATAGCGATGAAGGGCTGAGCCCAGTAATGTTACTATAGTCCCTAATGTTATATAAGTAGTCACATAGTTATATGTAAGGCAATAAAACTTTAAAATTATATTTTTATTGTTATTCATATTTTTTGAAATAACGCGGCCTCAAGTCCAGGTTATTTTTTGTCATGGGCAATTTTTTTTAAAACCTACCCCATATTAGGATTTTCTCCTATATCGTGGGTGTGTTTACAAACATACAAGTTCGCATACACATGACACCCAGACCACAGTGGAAACTATCATTTTCTTCTTCTCCTCTTATAATAAATATCTTCTGATTCACTTCGTTGCGGGAACCAAGACAGTTACTCATGTCCCTGGGACGCGCCGGACTTCAGTGTTCCGGTGTTTTCATGGTTGTATCTACTGTAGATCCTGGCTTACAGGAGTTGCAGCGGTTTTGGGAGGTTGAGGGGGGCTTGTCCTATTAAAAAAAAATGACACCCAGATATGGAACAACAATTTATGGATCACACAAAGAGTTGTTCCGTGCGGGAATCGAAGTCGCGACAAATTTCATTTAAACTACCATATTCAAGCATTAGGTACATTTGATTCGTGCAGAGATTGAATTATAATTGTTACTATTGTATTTTCTAACCACCTGTATGTTTACATTATGGATACAATAAATACTTGATTACTTGAGCCCACGATACTTGTCGTAATTTATGAATGCTTAGCTACTTCTTACAGATTGGAATATGACTTTATATATAGTCTATGTTATTCCTTAGACTGCCTCATTGGCCGAGTGGTCGCAAGCGCGACTGCCGGGCAAGGGGTCTCGGGTTCTATTCCCGGGTCGGGCAAAGTATTACTGGGTTTTGAAAAATCTCAGTAGTAGCACAGTCTGGAAAAATGTGCCCGGTACTTATATGGCAATAGGCTCACCCCCTATTACATGGGACTCATAACATAAATAGTGAAAAGTGGGTGTTCCATTGTACAGTGGCATTAAGTGCCGAAATGTGCACCTCTGCCTACCCCTTTGGGGATAAAAAGGCGTGATGTTAAGTTATGTGTTATTCCTTAGTACATCAGCTACCTCCCAATAAAAGTTCCGTCAAAATAAGTCCAGCCATTTCAGAGATTAGCCAGTACAAATACACCAATATTGTAAAAGGTGTTATTTTGGTATTTGGATATTCATATGCGCAGTAAAAAGCGGTTATTAATATTACAAATAATGGAATTCTTTGCACAGTCTGTATTTCCTGAAGGGTATAATCTGGGTGTCTTCAAGGTCCAGTGAATAGGTTGCTTATGGGAAGACGTGCTCCATAGTAGACCGCATCATCGCTTACCACCAGGCGAGATAAAGGCTAAACGTCGGCCCATCAAATGTACAAAAAAAACACTGAATTTTTTTTATCTGTATAGATAACGAAAAATTGAAATCTATCGTTTATCATTTATTTCTTACATAAATATTATGTACATAATAAAACAACATTATAGGTACAAAGTACAATGAATTAGATTACCTACATCTCTATATCTTCTACTGACTTTTACTTTCTTCTAAAACAAGAAAGAGACAAACAAATACATAACAATATAATAATGTCCTTATAATAGAAAAGGACAACACTATTTTTTGTAAACAATTATTTAAGAATTCAAACTGGGTACTTGCCAACTAGACATATCAAATACTTTTTTCGAACTGTCAAAAACGACTGTTTCCTATGAATTTTGTACGAGATTGTGTATTGTGACGTCACGTTATTTTAGCGTCAAACAAAAAATAAAATAAAATGAAGTAGGTCATAAAATCAATTATTAATGAAATTGTGATTATTTATTAATATTTAATTGTATTGAACAGTCGAAATAATTTATTTTTGATTGAAGAAAGTACCCAATTATCGTTAAGTTTACTACTGACATCGGAAGCTATTTTGATAATTTCAGTATGTTTTGTTTATTTAAGTAACGGTAAAATGGGATGAATAGGGTTTGAGCGGCGAAAAGGGACAGAAGAGGAGTGAATAGATAATATAAGGAAATTCTTCATGGTATCGATTCACCCCTCTTCTGAGGCCTTCTGAGTATGAGTTTGTTTTACGTACGTAATCGTAACGAGGACGCGTTCGGCGCTCCTGATTGGTTGGTTCACTTGAGCCGGCCAATCAGAGCGCCGAACGCGCTCGATACTATTACGTTACGAATGCGATAGTATTCGTGCTTGGCACTCTGATTGGTTGGTTTATTGCGCCGGCCAATCAGTGCCGAAACACAACTAGTACTAAGGCCTCTGTCTCTATTCACCTCTCGATCCCTATTCACCCCATTTTACGGTACTGTTTGTTTATGCGAGCCGTTTTATTTTTTCGCAGCCTGTATTATAATAAGGTTCTTTTAGAACACTAAGTTAGCAAAGAGTTGTAATGTAACAATGAGAAAATTTTATGAATTTATATGGCATTTTAGGTGGATGAAATTAGTGAACAGTAAGTACTGACGATAACAAATTATGCCTTCACAAGTATGGGCTAAAAGTCAAATGCGCCATTATCGGACTATCGACTTAAATTACTTCCTGATAAAGATTAAAATCCTTCATTTAAGATGTTTTTGGTTTCTTCGGGTCAGAAGGTCCTTCCTCTTCATTTCCAGCCTGGAATATAGGTTGTGGTTGGGTTTTCTTATAAGCTGGAGCCACCCAGAACGGATTCTCTTCAGCTTCCTTCGCATATTTCAAGATAGCCTCTCTTGGATCCTGTTCATCATCAACTCTCTTACTTAGACCCAGGTTCCTGATGACGAAGGAGCTTAGGGTGCTTCCTGAAGCCGCTACCCTACCACCCTGACCTGATGTGATGGGTAGATCAGGCCGGTGTGACTTGACCGGGTCCAATCTATCTTTCTCCATTTTCTTCTTGCTAGTTCTTAACTTCTCTTGTCTGAATAACGGTAAAGCGTGAGGAGTGATAATCTGCTGAGCGCTCACAACTTCTACCGAATGCTTCTTCCTATGAGTCTTCACTATGCAGAGCTTCGCACCTCGTAAACTCCTTTTCTGATCAAAGTAGCACTTCACAACTCCATTACCGCAACCGACAAATATCTGGTTAAGTTTCGCGTGCCAAATCGCCTTTATCACGTGAGATTTCGTCACATCTATATGCGAAACTTGTTCAAACGTCTTTGTATTGTAAAATATTAGTCTTCCTATATCCTGACCCTTCTTTAGAGACTCTCCCGTGAACACCAGACTATCATCTGGACTGAACGCGCAGTCAGTTTGCTCATACCTTGAAAATAGATCTCCAAAAACGTTCACGGGTTTTCTGAAGTTTCTAAGGTCCCAGATTTTAAGAGTATCGTCATTGCCTCTACTAGCTAAGTAGGAACCGAGGTAGGAGTATGAAATGCTGGATATTTCTGATTGTTTCTGATGGCAGTCTCTGACGCAGGCTGTGGTATTAACAAAGTTCTTCCTATGGTCCCACATTTGAATGGAACCGTCGTAGCAAGCGCAAGCGACTGTGTTCCCGTCCCTGGAGAATGTACAAGCAGTTGGGTTGGTTTTCAAACCTCCTTGCTGTCTGGGTTTTATGACTGCTTTGTGCTGTTTAGGGTTCTCAGTGAGCCAGAGTCGTAGTGTACCATCTTGGGAACATGTCATGAACTCCTCGCGTATGTGCGGATGCCAACAACCACTGTTTAGAGCTGCTGTGTGGCCTTTAGTTCTGAAAAGAGATGCGATTGATGTTAAATAAAGTTCGGCTCGAATGTTTGACAGACAATTTATTAGGCCCATATTTACTGGGAAATGGCATAAACGGTATTTATTTAGGAATTGATTAAATAGTTTAATATCTTACTCATCATGATATGGATGTCAAAGTTAAAATAAAATTATGTTTTACAATTTCACTATTTATCAAGTAGGTAGGGTCGCCAAGACGCCCCAATGCTCCATGTGTTGCAAGCGTTCATAGGCCATTGGTATAAAAAAATATTCGAAATTAGTTTTGCGCAGTATCATTTGGTAACGCAACCATGACCCCAGCATAGTTTGAAACTAGACAACTTACTTTGTCAAACAGTTATGTAAATAGACCATAAAAAATAATTAAAGAAGCCCGCTTCTCATGCACGAAGGTGCGAGTTCGAAACCTACCAACGGCAAGTACCAATGTGACATATTCCGAGTTATATGTACTTTCTAATTATTTAGACACCACTGACAAACGGCGAAGAAAAACATCGTGAAGAAACCAGGTTTATAATTTCTAATCATAAGTTTGTAATCGCCAACCCGCATTGAGCAAGTGTGCTCAAATTAATGCTCAAACCTTCTCCGTGTGAGAAGAGGCCTTTAAACAGCAGTGGCCAATTAGAGGCTATTGACCCAGGTCAGTTTCAAGAGTAAGCACCCAGGTGCTTACTCTTGAAACCAGTCTCAATGTCAATGCAATTTCAATCCAATAAAAACTCAATAATTATCAATGTCAACACTATACAACCACTATCGAAGCTGTTAAAATAGCATTCAGAGCACGGAATATAAAGACAAACTCAATACCGTTTAGTTCATCAAATATCTACGCAATACGGATGCAATGGGCGCTAGTGTTGCAACTCAAGAGTACGAAGTTTCACAATACAAATGTCGATCGATCGGAATTGGATTCAAGAGTAAGCCCCCAGATGTGAATTAATTTAATAACAAACATGTTATACTTACTTAGCCATATCAGTAATATATTGATCTCCCTTCACACACTCAAGCACTTCAAAGCCGTCTCTGTCCAGCACCTTGGCCTGAGCAGCGCCGCTCACTACTAGTATGGAGTCTCCCGTATTAGAGTACTGTAGTGCCTTGATGGGGTGGTTCTCACACGGCTGTAGAGTGCGGAATGATCGCATTCCTGAGTCCATACCTGGGAACAGAGAAATTAATAGGATGTTTATTACATTGGTAGTTTAGTTAAGATAGACAAAGAAAGAAAGAAAAAGAATTTATTTGACACAGATACAAAAAAAAAGAAAAATACAAATTGAAAAAAAAAAGAATAAAAAATGCAAAAGAGTAATGCCAAGAACAAAGAAACAATAGAGTATAACAAAAGAGTGACGATACAAATATAACACAGAAATTAAATACAAATAGTTTTGGGTTCAATTCCCAGGTTGGGCAGTGTTATTAGGGATTTTTAATTTTAATTTTTGTTCAGCACAAACGACTGTATAGGCAATTTACCTATTTCTACCCAGCATATGACAATAAGTTCACCCCCAAGGGAGCCTTAACATAAGTAGTGAAAATTGGGTTACATTAATTGAAATCCATCCCCTTAATTTGATCATACAAAACTAGTCTCTAAACATTGGAAATAAGGTCTATAATGTAATGTAATATTAGGGGAGAGCGGTCACCGGTGACCGCTTGGGGATCTATGGGTTAAATCTCTGTTTTTCAAGTTGCAAATAAGTTATAGTAAGAATTTTGGATGCTAAAGACTAACTATTTTTTAAGATTGATTGAATACTATCTCATCTCTTTATCGTGCCACAAAACAATCGCCAAAGCGTCACCGATTCGTGGTAAATGTCCCACCGACATGCACGAAGCCCTTCGCATCCAGCAACCAAGTGCGTACTTCTAAGGAGTGGAATGTATTGCCAGAGTCTGTATTTCTTGAAGGGTATAACCTGAGCGTCTTCAAGGCCCGATTGAATAGGTTGTTTAGTGGACGACGTGCTCCATCGTAGACCGCATCATAGCTTACCACCAGGCGAGATAGTGGTCAAACGTCGTCCAATTTATAAGTGTGGGAGAGCCATGCTTCGGCACGAATAGGCCGACTCGACCGGAGTGATACCACGGCCTCAAAGAAAAACGACGTGAAGCAACGCTTGCGTTGTTTTTCGTCGTTACCGGAAGCCCAATTACCCTCTCCTTCCCCAATCTCCCCAATTCCTGAATCCCCAACGATCCTCAAACTCCTAATCCCCAAAAGGCCGGTAACGCAGTTGTAACGCCTCTGTTCCAGGTGTCCATGGGCGACGCCGATTGCTTACCATCAGGTGATCCCTCTGCTCGTTTACCGGCTTATGCCATGATACAATTAGTTACTTAAATCTCATTAAAAGACCTTACCAGCAAAATCCCAGAAAGAGACATCATAGTCAATGGATCCAGTTGCCAGCCTAGCACCTGAGGGGTCTGCAGCCAGCGCAACCACTGCTTTAGTACCATGTAGCATTTCCACCTGCGAAGAGATTGATTAGAAATTAACCAACCCAGCAAACTTCGTATCACCTAAAGACATTTTTCTCACCTTTTAATTTAAAAGGTTTATGGAAATCCAGGGAAAGTTCATCAAAAGTCAAGATCAAAATTAGCCAAATTGAGTTCAGCCGTTCTCAAGTATTAATTAGCAAGAATAACAAGTGTAATTTTTCATTTTATTTTGTAGGTTACAAATTAAGGAGGTTGGTCTTTGCTTGAAATATAAGAGTAATGGAGATTAGAACACTTTCATTTAAAACTCGAGGACATGAATTTTAATCTAAGAAGGGTACATAATACCTTTTGATTCCGAAGTTTAGCAGTAGTGCACATTTTCAATGTAATACTCAGTCTATACCAGTTATGTTTTAATTAACAAGAAATAGCATTTCACATTTTAAGCACTTAGTTATATATATCAATTGTCGGGCCCCTAGTGTGCAGTGTCTCGATTCTTGATTTATTATCCTTATCCTTACTAATATTATAAATCGGAAAGTGAGTTTGTTTGTTTGTTCAGACTTCACGCCGTAACTACTAAACCAATTGCATTGAATTTTTACAGACATAAAGTTAGTAGTCTGGATTAAATAATAGGGTACTTTTTATCCCAAAAAAATTTGATATTCCCGAGGGAAAACAAAAGTATTGTTATAGATGGAGCTGTATGTATTGCTATATGTCACATAGGCTACTTTTTATCCTTTTGTGACGCGAGCGAAGCTGCGGGTAAAAGCTAGTAGAATATAAAATTATACCTACAGTAAGGAGGAGCATTTTATTTCCGATGTTTATAAACTACTCTTGAATGAACTTACTTCAGTAGGATATATCAACATATTAATAGAATGAAAAATACCATGCATGTTCTGTCACAGAAATACAACTTGAGCGGTAGGGTCAAGAAAAGATATGTTACATGTCAAAAGGTTAAATAAAAGATGTACTATTTAAAAGTTATATTGTTGGCAAGTGATATAGTTATTTAATATATTTTATCATATAACAATTTGTAATAATTTAGGTATAACCTACACAGTTAAGGAGGTAACATGCAATTAATATACATAATAAAAAGATGAGATAGAATCTAGTGAAAAGAGTAGGTAATAAAGTTTTCTCACCTCATGGCTATTAGGTATCCTCTTCTCCAATGGCAAGTCCTCATCATCAGAACCACTTAGCTCATCATAGCTGTCTTCATCACCATCACCATCACGTTTGCTCTTTCTTTTGTCATCCTTGTTCATCAGGTCTGGTGGTATTGGCGGGCCTATGAGATCATCATCATCATTATCATTTTGTGACATCCCTGGAGGTAATGGCGGCCCTATCAAGTCATCATCGCTTTGTTCATCTTTTTTTATCTCTGGTTCCTTAGGCTTAGAAGCTTCAGCCTCCAACCTCCTTTTATTGGCCTCCTGAGCGTTTACCTTTGCCTGTTCCACTAGTTCGACGAGGTCAAAGTTCTTAGCTTTTTTCCCAAAATTTTTTATTCCCATCACTTGCTGAACGTGTTGATTTTCTAAGTCTTCAGCTATTTCTTCGATTTCCTTGTGTTCCTGAATAGGTGTACGGCCGAAAGTACCGAAACCTGATGTGTTGGCCTCATTTTTGTCCTTGTTTTCATCTGTTTTGCTAGCTTTAAGGCTGATTTTACCAAAAGATATGGGCTTCTTGTGCATTTTTGGTCGACTTGATTGGATGATGTTCCCAACGTACTATGTCTTGTGTATTATCTACAGATAATACCTATCAAAATTAATTCAGTTCACTAAGTGTACTTGTAATAATAAATAACATTTACAGCTAAATTGGATTTTACTCTAAAAACTCAATCTGCCGATTTGTTTTGCAATGGCAAATGTCAGTCAGAGTCAAAACTAGGTAAACTGTCAAAAAGTATTGACGGGATCATCAAACGTCAAACGCCACGTTTAGTTGTTTTTAGAGATGAATAAGATGTAGGATTTATCTACAAATAGTTTTTAAAATATTCACATTGCATGGTTTGGTGACTTTTTTCTGGGAATAATATTTAAGATATCTTTGAAAACACTCGTGTATTTTGTTGATCCCTCGTTCCAATATTGTTTAGTGACTAAATGACAATGATGTTTGAATTTTGACAATCCATCATCCAACCAATCCAATAAGAAAACGTCAAACGAGTTACTGATTTCCTACGGCTTGGAGGTGGATTTAATAAATAATAACAAAAAACAGTTAGATTACAGTATAATTTAAGATTGGGTAAGTACTAAGCACAGTTGAAATTATTCAAAATATATTTGAACATAGAGAAATAAATTACAAACAGATAACAACAGCTAAACATTGACACAAAGTTGAATAAAATTACGAATCCTACAAAAACGTAAGGTAAAGAAATGCTTAACATTTTTGAAACTAAAATTTATCGGCAACAAACATTCACATTCTTCTTAAAATACCTGACTACTCGTGTGAATATTTAAAGTTTATCTTTTTTATTTAAATTCCGTTTTATTTTGCTTGTTTGTATCGCTGATTCGATTCGTACTTGACTATTCTTGATATTCTCTTCTCATTCTCTGTAGGGCTGCGGTCCTGAGCGGTCATCCACGATGTTGTTATTACCAATATTCTGCGTTATCCTGGGCTCGGCCGTCGGTCACATTGATAAAGGTAAAGAAATAATATTTATTTATAATATTCTTATCACTGTTTGTGTATAAATAAGTTTTAATCAACATTTATTAGCAGGATAATGTTTTTAATTAGTAATTATGTGGATTCAACTTCATGTAGGTAATGTTGAAGATTTAGCATTATTATTCTGTGGTTAGTTTTTGTATTACCCACATTGAGTTATTTTTTCTATATCCATCTACCTTTTTTTTAAATAACGGAAAACATAGACTAGGTACTTACTTTTTCACAGTTTATAAAGATAGTTTGTGTTAAATTATGGTGAACTATTTAATGATGTTATTATTTTAAACAGTGTTAGAACTTTTTATAGTAAACATAACATAACTTCACATTCTTTTTTATATGGGTAGATGTATAAATACAAAATATTCGAAAAATAGTTATTGAATGTACCCACTTTTATCATCTATCTCATCTAGAAGCGGGTGAGCCCATTGCCGGGCACAAATCCAGACACCCCACTATTATTTTGTATTTTTCAAAATACAGAAAAAAATACTATCCAGCCTGTAATCAAACAAAGACTTCTTTGATTAAAAAAAAACAATATAAAAATAAACTTCATATAAACAGAGTGACCGAGATTGTTTGTACTTACATGCTTATCATGTATTGAGTTCAATAGCAAAACAAAATTAAACTGATATGGATTGAAATAAATAACTGAAAATGTAATGTAATAGACTAAACAACTTTCAAATGTTTGATAAAATATGTAACTTTGATTTAAAGACATCATTTGGTATAAATAAACAATTAGTTTTTTGAAGTGAGGAAAATAATATCACACTTTATTTCCTCATAGAAATATTCAGAGGTGCTTGTATATTAAACTGTCAAACACCACACGGTCACCGGTGACCGCAACCTATTGTTCTTTAATCGTGTCTATAATGACGGTACTCAAAGAGTTAAATGTAACAAAATTTATACATCTACTTTGCACTGGTTGTTTCATAAGTTCCATGTAACAATAGGTCAAATGCCATTGATCAATCCAACACAATTATTCATGTCCCTGGGACATACCGGACTTAGTATTCCATTGTGTTCATGGTTGTATCTACGGCAGATCCTGGCTTACAGGAGTTGCATCAGTTATGGGACGCTATGGTGGGCTTGTCCTAATAAAAAATAAGGTTGATCGCCATAAATTCCAGCATCCACTTTGTTAGTAAGAAATTTTCGAGAAACTTTAATATAAATACTTGATAGATAAATCCAATCTTTGTCCTTTACTGAGGCAGTCATAATGAATCAGTTATTCTTTGCCGTAAGAATGAAATTTACCCTACTTGATTGACTGATGGACACCATATGACTGTGTTTCCCTGGTTATTTATTTAGACTTAGTAATAAAAATTAAAAACTATCTTCCCTTTCAGATGCTCCCCCTCAATGGAGTCCGGTGTATACAGTAAAGGGAACGCTAAACATTCCTTATGCTGAACTTAAAGAACCTTTCTACACTTGGTGAGTTAGATTTTGATAAATATTTTGACAGTACATAAATAACAACATAACATAACATAACATTATTTATTAACATTAGCAGAGGTGCACATTACGGCACTTAATGCCACTGTACAATGTAACACCCACTTTTCACTATTTATGTTATGAGTCCCATGTAATAGGGGGTGAGCCTATTGCCATATACCGGGCATAATTCCAGACTCCGTGCTGTTACTGAGATTTTTTTTTTAAAACCCAGTTATACTTTGCCCGACCCGGGAATCGAACCCGAAAACCCTTGCCCGGCAGTCGCACTTGCGACCACTCGGCCAACGAGGCAGGCATACATAAATAAATACCAATTAAAATTACTTGAGGGTGCTCAGTAGGGCTGATGGCCGGGGCTCTGGCTCGAAGAGCAGTAGGAACAGGGTTGTTTTTTAGTCAGTAATAGTGTGACACTCCCTCTCGCCTTACTCAAGGCCGGAGAAGTAATCGGATGATGTTTCCCTTAAAAAAATGTGGTTGGAGTGGGTTCTGTGTGGTGCTGAAGGAAATGAGGGGGGGGGGGGGGGCGGTGTAATATCTAATTATTTATACAACAGTGACTTGATTAATACCTAGTCATAATACTTCCATAATTATAATTTGCACATTCATCAATAGGTATAGTTAATTATGAGTAGCTAACAATTATTTGTTTACTAAGAGAATGCAACTCAAAGGGTTCATATATCTATCGATTTTCTCAAGGCCAGTTTCGTCTAGGATTTCAAATAAAAGGTATCAATATATATTTTGTATGTAGATACATATGTATGTATATATATTGTATTGTACTCGTGTGCAGGTCTGTATTACAATTATATGTAATTTAATATACAAGTTTATCTTTATTTGTTAAATAAAGTCATTGTTTGCTTCTTGCTATCTACTCTTTACCAAAAGGCCAGACTGGGAGAAAATGCCTGCGGCATTAAGTCCACCTATTGTACATCGAGTGCATAAAGCATATCACTACATAGTATAAACCAAAGTCGCTATCCGCCGTCTGTCTGTCCCTATGTATGCTTAGATCTTTAAAACTACGCAACTGATTTTGATGCGATTTTTTTAATAGGTAGAGTGATTTTTAAACTGTCAAACACCAAGCGGTCACCGGTGACCGCAACCTATTGTTCTTTAATTGTGTCTATAAAACCGGTACTCGACGAGTTAAGGAAGGTTTATATGTATAATACATGTATATTGCATCCGTGCGAAGCCGGGGCGAATCGCTAGTTAAATAAAGGTTCAAGATTATATAAGACATTTAATTTTGCAAGGAATGTTACTTTTTAACCGACTTCAAAAAAAGGAGGTGGTTCTCAATTCAACCGTATATATGCTTTTTTTAAATCGACGCTTAATGCAATAGAGGTCCTAATCCCATGCAATAGAGGCATCTATATCTATGTTTTTATTGTTTTTATTTATTGGATTGATTGTCCTATGTTTTTATTGGATTTCACGGTTGGTGCCGTGACTGGACAACTACTGCCGCACACCGTGTCATGGGTTCGAGTATCACACGGAACAACTCTTTGTGTGATCCACAGATTATTGTTCTGAGTCTGGGTGTGATGTGTACGTAAACTTGTATGTTTGTAAACGCACCCACGATACAGGAGCCAATCCTAGTGAGGGGAAAATTTGGAATAAAACTATTTTAAACGTTTGCAACCAATTTATTCTTGTAAGCCAGGTTAGCCAGGACCTAACTATAGTTTCGGGTCCAAGACTGGTACATTCCGAATGTTTTCGGAAATCAATAATTCTCATAATACTATGCACGAATTATTAACTATTACTACTGGGTTTTTATAAATTCTCAATAGTAGCACGGAGTCTGGAATTGTGCCCGGTGTATGGCAATAGGCTCACCCCCTATTATATGAGACTCATAACATAAATAGTGAAAAGTAGGTTTTACATTGTACAGTGGCATAATGTCACCTCTGCCTACCCCTTCGGGGATAAAAGGCGTCATGTTATATTACTGTACAAGACACGGGAAATATCCCGATTTCACCTTGCCTACCAGTCATTTCCCTATCCTTTATTATACTCTCCGTTCTAAATAAGTGTCAAAAAATCCCGACAACAGGATAATAAACAACAAAGCAACGTTTTTCAAGTTTTGTTTTTATAATCCATCTCTGAGAAATTGTTCACAAAAAACGAGGCAGCTAAGCCACTTGGCCATACCTAGTATAATAAAAGATGTAGGTAAGTAGGTACCTACACTATGTTTTGTTGCCAGTCATAATTCTAAGAATGTACATTAATACTTTTATAGTGCTTCGAGGACTATAGTTTTAAACAGCTGGCAATTTAAAATACTAAACTTTGGTTTTCAGCTGTGAAAAGTTATGTTTTAATTGATTATTATTTATTTATGTCTTTACCATTCACGGGACCACAGGGTCCCGGTCATTTGGGAGGCGTACGAGGGGCCGAAGCCAACTGCGCAGAGGCCCTTTAGACAACTTTAATATAAATGTAATGGACACACAAACCGGCGACTATCCCTGTATGCACTATGGAAATGCACCCAAGGACAGTCCCCGGTTAGTGTAGGACTATTGTGAATAAAGAAAAAAAAAAGGTAGGGCTATGGATGGGTTGCTGTGGACTGGTAAATTGGGAACTATGGATGACTATGGCACCTGCCTAAACAATGTAATTTTTACACGTAAAAATGGCAGGCGGAGACTCGCCAACTCACCGACCGGGCCCCGGGAATGGTTGCTAGATATAGCAACAGAGGGGCAACGAGAATGTAAGTGGCTGAAGTGTTAAGAAACTACCACCGCTTTCTACTCAGATCATCTGCTCCAGCCGAAGCCTCCTGCATCCCTGGCCCACTCGCGACTTACGAATAGTTTCTTACCCTCCGAGCAGGATCACTGCTCTCGCGACTCCACTCTGGACGGCCAATGAAGGCAAGCCAGAGGTGGGAGACCTGTTCCTTGTCATCGTTCACTCCAGCCAGCCAATTAAGGCAAGCCGGAGAAGAAGGAACGGTGACTTCTCCCTGGAGCACTCGGGATGATGGTAGCCCGCGGGATCGCTAATGCCCGTCACCTCGCCTCAAGGTGTTATTATTGTGATGTTAACACGACTTTACACCAATAGGGTTGTTTCCTAAATTTTATTTTAATGTCCGTCTGGTACATTAATTTAAAACTTTAGACAAGTATTTTTTCTTTTCTCACAAAATTAAATACTTTCGACGATATATTAATTTAAAATATTGTGTGACGTCACAGCGTGCTACATTTTGTAGCACGTTATGACGTAACGACTCCTAAACTTAGCGCCATTTTATCTAAGTATTGCAATTTAATACGAGAAAATAAAAAAAAATACGTGTCTAATTTTTTTTATTATCTAACTGACGGACTAATTAGATTTTTAATTTGATACCCTGGAAACTATCTAATTACAATAACACACAAACAAAGAGAAATAAAAGAGAATCAAACAGATACAATAACAGAAAAAGAAGAAAAAACTCTTAAATAAACATCACATTAAAAAAAAATACCAAAAAATCGAGAGAGTTACAATAGTAGATGACAAACAGTAATGTACCTACATTATATATATGTAGTACCTAAAATTGAAGATTGCTGTATTTATCTGTAGGTTACAAGAGTACAATGACCTTTAATAAGATTTCAATCTACCTTTCATCCTCAAACCTTTTAAGTAATAGGCAGTGATACCTACCTACTATTTCTTTTATTACTATTATTATAGGAGCGATGGTGTTTATTATGGGATACGCCGATAAACGAGCAGACGGATCATTTGGTGGTAAGCAATCGGCGTCGCCCATGGACACCTGGAACACCAGAGGCGTTACAAGTGAGTTACCGGCCTTTTGGGATTGGGAATTTGAGGATTTTGAGGGGGTAATTGGGCCTCCGGTAACCGGCTCACACGACGAAACACAACGCAAGCGTTGTTTCACGTCGGTCTTTTTAAAAGGCCGGCAACGCATCTGTGACTCCTCTGGTGTTGCGGGTGTCCATGGGCGGCGCTGATCGCTTACCATCAGGTGATCCGTATGCTCGTTTGCCTCCTATTCCATAAAAAATCTCTAGAACTACTGATCCAATTTGAAAAATTATTTTTATGTTGGATAGTTCATTTATCGAGGAAGGCTATATATAGGCTATAAAATATCACGCTACGACCATTAGGGGCCCAGCAGAGTGGACGAAACCGCGCGAGAATAGTTAGTCATCACTATCACTACATAGTATAAAACAAAGTCACTATCCGCAGTCTGCCTGTCCCTATGTATGCTTAGATCTTTAAAACTACGCAACAGATTTTGATGCGGTTTCCTTTAATAGATATAGTGATTGTTAAGGAATGTATGATACCTATACATATTGCACTCGTGCGAAGCCGGGGCGGGTTGCTAGTATAAAATAAAACAACTGCTCATGAGAAAGAACCCCTCTGTGGTTCGAAACTAGTAGAGCTTTTCTCAGTATATTCACGTGAGTAACCCGCGTTTTTACTTAACTGTTTCAAGTTTAACAATAGATTAATTAACTTTTATCGGAATACTGAAACACTACTCAATTTTAAGTCGTGCTTAAGTATAGTTTTATCTCTACAAATTCTTTGTAAAATGACAGAGATGGCACGATATTTGAGTACGACTTAAAATTGAGTAACGTTTCAGTATTCCGGCATTTGTGTACCAAAACTATGACTAAGCCTAAATCAATGTGTTTGGTGTGAACATTCTTTGTCGGTGCTTCACCTTATGACCTGAAATATAGTCTACATCTGTCTGTATACATCTGTGAATCATACTCCTGAACAAAGCCTTGAACAGCTGTGTCAATGATATAAATATTGTTTTAATTTAAAAGTATTGGAACTATATCATTTGTGGAACGTGTCATTATGTACACTTGAGAGCACAAAGACATAGTGTTTTTTCTTAATCATAC